GGCTTACGACTGTAATCCCACTTTGAGAGGCCAAGGCAGGTAGATCACCTGAGGTGAGGAGTTCTAGACCAGCCTGGCCAACATGGTGAAACCCCATCTCTACTAAAAATGCAAAAAATTAGCCGGCGTAGTGGCAGGTGCCTGTAATCCAAGCTACTTGGGAGGCTGAGGCAGGAGAATTGCTTGAACCTGGGAGGCAGAGGTTGCAGTGAGCTGAGATTGCGCCACTGCACTCCAGCCTGGGCGACAGCAAGACTCTGTCTCAAACAACAAAGGAAAAACAAACCAACCCAAAACCATGATTCAATGATTTGAAACAATAACTGTGCCACTGCTGTTTACAGGAGGCCAGGGGCATCTGAGTCACCGCATAGACTGAGGCCTGACCACTGGCTCTCCCTTCCCAGGCCCACTGTGGAAGTGGGTGCTTGCATCTGCCGCCCCTTAGAGGTTCTCTTTGTGCCATCTCTGTCCACTTGGGAAGGCTTTATTGCCCACACCACCACACTTCTCTGGGGCACAGAAATATGTATATTTCTATTTCTTTTTATAACCCAGGACCATGTTGCAGGACTCTGCTAATGTTTCTTCTGGCTTGAGCAAAGCACGGTTGGCGTATTAGACGTTCTGGGGAATTTTCTGTAGGTATCTGTAGACAAACAGCACGTCCTGCTGTCAGGAGAAGGGGCTCGCCATCAGTTCCATTCCTGTTTTTCTGTTATAGATGTCGGTCCCAGGAAGCCCTGTTCACATAGATGAGCAGGTGGGGCTGGAGCTCCTGAGTGCCCGGGAAGGGGTGACTGGGAAAGGCCAGGGGCAGCAGCTGCCAGGGCCCCTCTCAGATTTCCCAGTTTTTACACGGAATACCTATGGGCGTTGAGGTCTGGAAAAATGATTTTTAAAAAAGTTTTCCTGCTCTGCAGACTCTCTTGAAGACTGTATCATGCCAGGGGCCCATGGGTCACTGTGACGACTGGACCCTGCCACTTGACAGACCCCTGTGATGCTGGCCTGTAGGACTGTGGAGCACAGACCCTTGGGAGGTACCAGAACGTCATGGGGCTGGATGGGGCAGCGAGGAGGTGCAGTAAGTGTTGACTGAGAATTGAATTCAGTCACCCTGCACTTGTTAAGCTTGTCTTGGCTTGGTCCACAGACATACACTCTGGGAGCAGACGCTTTGGTGAGGAAGACCAGGTGAAGAAGGTGAGTTTTCGGTTGGACGTTCTAAAGACAGGCAGGGTTATGCCAGGAGAATTGGCAGGGTCAGGGCGGAGGAGGCCCGTTTGAGGAGAGGACATTTGAGCCGAGATCTGATGGAGTGAGGAGCCAGGGCGGGCAGATATCTGAGCAAAGAACATTCCAGGCAGGGGAGCAAAGGACGCAGCTGCAAATGTGGTGTGGGTTAGGGCCAGTTAGGTGGCCAGTGTGGCTGGGGAAGGGCTGGAGAAGTCGTTAGGCCACCTCCTAAGGACTCATGCCTTGACTTGGATTGACATGGAGATCCGCAGGAGGGTGACATGATGTCAATAAAAGGAGTGCTCTGGGTGCTGGGTAGAGGAAGAGAGTGAGGATGAGGGGTTAACGGTGGAGTCAGAGGGAGCCCAGTGAGTGCCGGGAGCCCAGGGTGGCAGAGCCGCGGTGCAGGGTTGCAGGGTCCCGGAGCTAGGGATGGAGGCTGTTGCAGGGCAAGTGGCCTGGTCGGCCTCTCCTTGGAGAGGCGGTGAAAGCAGAGACTGGAAGGCAGAGAGCCTTGCCAACCTGTGGCGAAGAGCTCTCCAGAGGCAGCAGCCGGTGGTGCAAAGGCCCTGGGGCAGGCGCAATCAGGCTGCGCAGAGGCCGGAGCTCCGGGAGGCGGCACCAGCGAGGGCCAGGCGGTGGCCGCCTAGCCGGAGCCGGGCGATTACCTTACAAGGTGCCCTGCGGCGCCGCGGCCGCGTTGGGCCACTGCGTACTCTGGCGGCCCGCGGGGGCGCGCGCGGAGGAGGCGGGGCCGGCGGGGCGCGGGCGGGGGGCTCGGCGCAGCGGCCACTGAGCTGAGCGACGCTGCGGCACCCGCTCCAGGTCCGCACCTGCTCCGGGGTACGGGGACGCGCGAGGCGGGGGCGCACCGGGTCCGGTCCACGACCGCCCCATCCCTGCGCGCCCGCAGGACACCTGTCACGCCCGGCGCGTCCCCCACCCGCACGCGCTCGGTCCACGCAGCTCGGGACGCGGGCGGCCCAGGCTGCCAGGTCCCCCTGCTCCGCGGCGCCGAGGTCCGGGCTGCGTCTGCAGCCTCGTGGGTGGCCGTGGTCTTGGCAGGTGGCTCCGCGGGGATCGCAGGTGCATCTCGGGCGGCTTGGTGGCTTGGGCGGCGGGTGCCTGTGGACGCTGTGCCATGGGTGGCGGGCCTAGGCGGGGGTGGGGGCTTGGGCGCTGTGGATGGGGGAGGGAACGGCGTGGGTGAGCATGGAGCCTTCTGGAAATCGGCCGGATGTGTGGAGGCAGAGAGGCGGCGTCCAGGTGCTGGTCGTGTCAGGGTGCAGGGCTGGGGGGACATGGGACGACAGCTGTGGGCCAGGGATGTGGAGGCGTGTGTGTAGTGGCCTCGCCTCTGTGGGAGGTGTCTGGGGGTGTGGACCTGGATGGGGGCAGGGAGGTTTCAGCGCTGCCGGAGGCTGAGGTCTGCCTGGCAGGGGGTGGAGGAGGAAGCTGCCCTGCTCGGGGGCCCCCATCACCTTTCCCCTGCCTCTGCAGATATGCTGCTGCTGAAGAAACAGACGGAGGACATCAGCAGCATCTATGACATCCGAGGGAGGCTCGGCTCGTGAGTGTGCTGGCGTGTGTGATTGTGTGTGAATACCTGTGTGAGCTGGCGTGTGTGTGTGTGTGTGTATGTGACTACGACAGTGGGCGTGAGATGGTGTGTGTGAATATGTAGGGGTGTGTGAATGTCTGAGTGAATGAGGTGGCATGTGTGAGTGGTGGGGGTGTGTCGCACAGGGCCAGGTAGGGCCTCCTCATCTCCTTCACAGGGGACCTCCCCATCCCCTCCCTCTCCCTCCCGCCTCTCCTCTCTTTCCCTCATTTTCACCTTTCGCAATTCCTTCCTGCCTCCCACTGCCCGTCTCTGCCTCTGCGGCAGGGGTGCCTTCTCCGAGGTGCTGCTGGCCCAGGAGCGGGGCTCTGCACATCTCGTGGCCCTCAAGTGCATCCCCAAGAAGGCCCTCCGGGGCAAGGAGGCCCTGGTGGAGAACGAGATCGCAGTGCTCCGTAGGTGTGTACCTCATGGGGCCCTGGGATGGGGCATAGGTTGATGTGGGGGTGGGGTGGGGGTGCAAGGAGACCCTGGCTCTAGTCCAGGCCTGGCCACCAACCTTCGGGAGGCCTGGGGCAGTTCTCCTCTCTCGGCCTGCACATCCATGTGCCTCATGGAGCTGGTTGATATTGATCTGTGCTTTTCCAAATGGGCTTTAGAAATCTGTGTCCCAAGGAAGGCCGCGGCTCAGGCTGGGGCTCTGCCTTCCTGGACTGGGCAGGGATGGCATGTGGTAGGCAATGGGCACAGGGGTGTGAGGAATAAAAGAGGAAGGAGGCTTTCCCTGGGGCCCCAGGACAGAGCCCCCCTTGACTCTGCTGGCCCACAGGAGCCTCCTTGCCGTTGCAGAATCAGTCATCCCAACATCGTGGCTCTGGAGGATGTACATGAGAGCCCTTCCCACCTCTACCTGGCCATGGAACTGTGAGGAGGACTTGGGCAGGCTGTGGGAGCTGGGTAGGGGCTGGGCAGTGAGTGGGGCTGAAGGCCAGGCTGAGTGCCTGGGTCAGCCAAACCCCTGGCGCCCCCAGGGTGACGGGTGGTGAGCTGTTTGACCGAATCATGGAGCGGGGCTCCTACACCGAGAAGGATGCCAGCCATCTGGTGGGTCAGGTCCTCGGCGCTGTCTCCTACCTGCACAGCCTGGGCATCGTGCACCGGGATCTCAAGGTGCCTGGCCGGGGCCTCCCAGCCCTGCTCTCCCACCTGCCCACCTGGCCCTGCCTTTGTTTCCCCGGGAGCACAGCTGGGGCCTTTCTTGGTCATCCTCTCCGCTAAGGCTCTGGGGAAACTGACTGACCTGGCCCTTTTCCGGTGCCCATGTGTCACAGCCTGAAAACCTCCTCTATGCCACGCCCTTCGAGGACTCCAAGATCATGGTCTCCGACTTTGGGCTCTCCAAAATCCAAGCTGGCAACATGCTAGGCACTGCCTGCGGGACCCCTGGATATGTGGGTGAGGCTTGCTGGGAGTGGGGGCCCGAGGGATCCTAGACAGCCGGGAAGGTTGTTGTGCCCGTTGTCCCTGGGCTTGAGTGGGCCGAGCCAGAGGCACTGAGCGGCAGGGCTGCGTGTGTGCCTGTGCGTGCGTCTGTCTGTCTCTGGCCCCCAGCCCCGGAACTCTTGGAGCAGAAGCCCTACGGGAAGGCTGTAGATGTGTGGGCGCTGGGTGTCATCTCCTACATCCTGTGAGTGATCGCTGGGAAGCCTTGTCTCCTGTGTGCCTGCCCCTGCTGGGTTGGGGAGGGTGGGACAGCTGGGTGATTCATCTGTGGGTGCCAGGCTGTGTGGGTACCCCCCCTTCTACGATGAGAGCGACCCCGAGCTCTTCAGCCAGATCCTGAGGGCCAGCTATGAGTTCGACTCTCCTTTCTGGGATGACATCTCAGAATCAGGTGAGCTTGAGGCCGGCCCATGCTTGGGGGTGATGCAAGGGAGTGGGGACCCAACAGGCTGACCTGGCCTCCCTGCTCCAGCCAAAGACTTCATCCGGCACCTTCTGGAGCGAGACCCACAGAAGAGGTTCACCTGCCAGCAAGCCCTGCAGCATCTTTGGTGAGTGGAAGCACAGCTGTCTCAGGGCCAGGGTGACCGCACCCGAAAGGAGGCCTACTCCACTGACCTGCAGCCTTTCCCCAGGATCTCTGGGGACACAGCCTTCGACAGGGACATCTTAGGCTCAGTCAGTGAGCAGATCCAGAAGAACTTTGCCCGGACGCACTGGAAGGTCAGTGTGGAGAGCGGCCCAGTGCGGTGGCCCGCCACACCCCAGATGGAGCATGATCGCCGCGGCTGTGCAGTGCCCACTGCCGTCCTCACAGTCTTGGGGCCTGGGCCCAGGCCTGGCCTGATCTCCCTCTCTTCTGGCAGCGAGCCTTCAATGCCACCTCATTTCTGCGCCACATCCGGAAGCTGGGCCAGAGCCCAGAGGGCGAGAGGGCCTCTGAGCAGGGCATGGCCCGCCACAGCCACTCAGGCCTCCGTGCTGGCCAGACCCTCAAGTGGTGATGCCCAGGTGCGTGTGGGTGGACCCTGTGCTCCCTAGTAGCTGGCTCCTTGGAGAGCTTAGAGGGTGGTGGCACTCCATGTGGCCAAGAGCTAACTGGGGTGGCCCCCATGGGCCAGAGGGCTGAGGGCAGAGGGCACAGAGGGAGGAGCCAGGGCCCTAGGAGAAGCAGAAGGACAGGGACAGCTAGTGGTGCCCGATGTTAGGCAAGGGTGTGCAGGGAGACCCTGAGGGCCTCTGAGAAGTCTGGGCCTCAACCGAGGCAGGGCTGGGGGCACAGGTCCGGCAGGTTGGCTCCTGACTACCCCCTTTCCCTCTGCTTCTCCCCCTCAGGCAGATGTCAAGGCCAAGCGACTGATCCCCAGATTTCCTTCCCTTGGACGCCTTCGGTCCCCTCCCCCAACCTCTCCCCCTGTGGCTGGCCTGTGCTGGAGTTTGAATTTGAGGGTGTGGTGAATGGCGCTGGGGTGGGAATGGGGCACCCCCAAGTCTGTCCCCAGGCTCTGTCCTGCCTGGGGACAGTGGCTCCCCTCCTCTGTTGCCTCGCCCATCCCTGTCCCTGCCCCACCAAAAGACTGGGAGGCACAGGCAGGCGGGCCTCAGGGGCTGTCTTTCCTGCACGGCTGTTCTGTGCTTCGCTGAGTGTAAGTGATCCTGCTCGTGTCATGGTCGTGGCCTTCCAGCCCCCTCCAGTTTTCTCCAAACCAATAAAGACAGACAGAGCAATGGGCTCGTGGTGAGCTGGGGCTGTGGCAAGTGCAGGGGGGATCTGGTTACTTGTGGGAAGGAAACCAATGAGACCCTGTCACCCGAACCTCTGCTCCCTCGTATCACGGCAGACAAGTTTCCGACTGTTCGGAAACTTCCTGTCCCCTCCCCTCAAAGCACCAACAAATGGCAGCCTAGCTGGGCAGCTCTGCCACCCCAGTGGTGTAACTGCCCAGCCTTGAGGTCCTGGGACAAAGTGGAGGCCGCACACGCCTGCTGGGCTGCCAGCAGGGGGCGCTGGCAGGAGGTTGTGTGGCCGCCTGAGGAGTGCTGGCTCCGGACCGCCAGGGTTGGGCTGCAGTGCCCCGCCATGCACTGCTGGGTTGTCTCAGCCAGGTGCCCAGGGCTGGGAAGGGCTCACAGGTACATGGAGGGGGACCAGAGCCCACGACTGTCACCTTCCATCCTCCCTCCGTTCCCTTTCTTGTTAGCCAGAGGCCACGTCGTACAGAAGGGTAGGGAACCGCAGGGTCGGAGGGTGAGAGGAGTTCCTTGTCCAGGATTTGGCGACACGGGGGCCTTTTTCCCTCCGCTGTGCGTGGGCTTTGAAACCCTCAGCCTTCAGGCTGGGGTGGACTGGTCTGGCAGCTAGGGCCCTGGGGGCAGTGGCGGCTTGGACATGACTGCTGAAGGGAAGACCTGTGCCCATTCTGGAGGGGCCAGGGCTCCAGAGCCATGCCTTGCTGGGCCCCAAACCTCTGCTGGCCCCTCTAGGCCTTTCTCCCTGGGCTCATCAGGGGAAGACCCCAGAGCCACTCCTTGGTCCCAGCCAGAGTTCCAGGCAAGCTGGCTACCTGTCCCTCCCCTCTGAGACCCCTGTTCCCTGCCAGCCCCCAGGGTGTGCGCCTGATGACGCCTGGCTTGACTGGCCAGAATAGCAGAGAAGACTGCTCTCCTTGTTGAACTTTGGGTCCTAAAGCTAGGCAGTGAGGCCGAAACCAAGGCTGGCCTGGGTCTTGGGGCTGAAGGCTGCAGTGGTGCTCAGGCTTACACCAGGAACAGCAGGCTGGATGTGGGTGGGCAGCCTCCTCCTCCATGCCCACAGCCACTCCCAGGCCATCCGTTGCCCCAGGCTTTGGGCCCCACAGGGGACCTCAGTCAGCCAGTGCCTCAGCCTCCTCGCCTCCGAGACCCGTCCCACCTCCCCTCACCTGTACCTGGGGCCCTGTTGCCTGTGGGCACCCCTGCTGCGGGCTCCGCTTCCCATCTTCTCTGTGTTCACACTGGACTCCCATGATACCTACTTGCTCTTGTTTTGGTCAGATGCTAACCGCACCTCTACTCTGTGCCAGGCGCTGGGCACGGCCTGGGCCTATCAGAAGAGGGGCCCGCCCTCCAGGAGGAGGCCCTCTGTTGGAGGGGTGGTTTTATGGGGATGATAAGAATGGTCTTCGTGGGTCTGTGAGCCGTGAGCAGGAGTGCCACAGCCAGCCTTCCAGAAGAAACCAGCATTAGCTCAGGAACGGCCAGCTCTTCCAGTCCAGGCATGTAGCCAGATAGCTTCAGCTTGGAGCTCAAGCCAGCTCTGGGCTGCCTTGACAAAGGGTGCAATATAGCCTCCTGTCAGCAGGGGGAGCCACGGCCCCATCTTTAGAAGTCCATTAGGCTCTCCTGGTTCCTTTAGCACCTGGGCAGACTTTCAAATCCATTCCTTCCCGCCACTGCCCCCACCCCACACCCTGCAAATCCTGCCCTGGGAAAGGCCAACCTTAGGCGAGAGAGGTCCTGCCCCATCTGTGACAGGGGCGAGGGGGGAGCCCCCAGGTCAAGCAGAGGCAGCATCCCTCCATCCCTCCAAAACCCAACATGAGGAAGGCAGCTTGGGTCACTAGGCAGTGGGGTGGCAGGCTGGGAGAGAGAAAGGACTGGTTTAGCCAAAGGCAAAAAGGTGGTGCGTATGTGAGGTGATGGCGAGGGAACTGGGTCAGACGCTGTGAGGGCTTCTCAGGCTCAGGGCCGGTGCTGAGGCTGGTGGCAAGAGGAACGGGCCAGATCGAGCCTGGCAGAGGAAGGAGCTGGAACTGTAGTCTAGGAGCAGTGGGGAGCCGTCGAAGGGGTTTTAGCCAGAGAGCATCCTTGTCCAGTGTGGGTTAGATGCTGAGCTGGGGCTGGCTGCTGGGAATCGGGGTGTCTGGAACCAGACCAGAATTGAGGGTGGGGGAAACCCTGGTGGGCCTCACGAAAGGAAGATGTCTCTGCTTTTCTGGGCCACACAGGGTGGGTCACGTGCTCTGTCTTGAAGCAAACCTGTGGGAAGCAGAGTTTCAAGGGAAGGTCAACCTATGGCTCTATCCTAGGGATGGGGAGACATGGAGGTGGTCCTAGGAGCTCTTTGGTAGTCAAGTGGACAGGTCTTGGTGATGGGTTGCAGGTGGGAAATGAAGGGGAGGATCCAGGTAGATCATGGTTCTGGCAGCAGAACATTCATCAAGAAGGGTTCAACGGGCATGACTTTGGGGGAGGAGTATGAGATTGATTCTGGATGTGGTCAGTTCGAGGTGCCTGAGGGGCGTGAAAATAGACTTACTTTTCACCCTTCTCTTTGCAAGTATATATCTAGCATAGAAACTGGTATTTCTGGAAGGATTATCCCTTTTAATAAAAAGAACACTGATCCCTCAAGCCCAGGAGTTCAAGGCTAGCCTGGGAAAGATGGCAAAAACTCATCTCTACAAAAAAAGAAAGAAAGAAAGAAAGAAAATAATGCTAGTAACAACTCTTTGTTGAAGAGGCTCTCAGGTATTAACTTGAACCTCACCTATGAGATAGCTGCTATCATGATAATCACCCCCACGCTACACATGGCTAAGTAACAGCTCGTGTACTCTCGCTTGCATCCATTCGAGCGAGGTCTTGCTTGGGACATAATTGTGTGGGGAATTGAAGAAAACAAGGGGAATTCTTTCCCCACTTGTCTTTGTGAATGCAAACTGTGTGTCTGAAGGAAAGAAGACCTTGGGCTGGAGAAACCCATGCTGGATTTGAGTTTGGGTCTTGTAGATGGTTTGTGTTGCCTTTTTTTTTTTTTTTTTAGAGATGGGGTCTCACTGTGTTGCCCAGGCTGGAGTGCAGTGGCTGCTGTCAAGTGTGATCCCACTACTGATCAGCACATGAGTTTCGACCTGTTTCTGACCTGGGCTGGTTCACCCCTCCGTAGGCAACCTAGTGGTCCTCTGGTCCTGGAATATTCATGCTGAACTTAGTACAGACACCTGATGGACATAGCACACTACAGCCCAGAGCTCCTGGACTCAAGGGATCCTCAGCTTCCCCAGTAGCTAGGACTACAGGTGTGAGCCACCATACCACCTGGCTTGTGTGGCCTTTAAGGTCCTCTGTGCCTCAATTTTATGTCCTGTTAAGTGAGAACCAGGGAGGTCTTTCCACAGTGGTGGAAATGTGGCACGGGAGCTGGGCGTTACAAAGATCCCCTGGAGCTTGGTGTGAGTGATGGCCTGGAAGTGGGGCAGGGCAGGGCTGAGACAAGGCAAGAGATGTAGACGGCCTTCAGCCAGGGCAGCTGAAGTGGAACTGCTGGAAAGGTGCAGCTTGGCCATGGACTCAATGGGGGTGGGGGATGGGGGGTTGTGAGGGAGTCCAGCATGCTGCTAGGGATCCCAGGAGAGCAGCAGGTCTGTTAAAGAGATGAAGGGACCAAGTCAGGCCCCCAGGCCGGGCAGTGGCCGATTTGGCACTATAAGCCACACGTTTCTTCCTGCCAGGCACTGTCTGGGCATGTGGTGACCGTGTTTTCCACCCCACCCCAGCTTCATCCAGGGATCCGTATTACCATCCCCAACACCAGGTGGGCAAGATAAGAAGTATGGAGTGTTTCGGAAGCAAGAAAGAACGCTGTCTGCTTGAGGGAGGTTGTGAGAGGAGGGTAGAGGTCAGCCTGGAAAGTGACCTTTCTCAAGGGGGCACTGGGAGCCACTGACACTTTAAGCAGAACAAGTGACAGGAACAGATTTTTGGTTTAAGAGAATTTTTCAATATTTCTCAACCATATTATCTGCCTCCTTTTGAGAAATAGAAAAAGCCGACATTTACTGTCACACTGGTCTTTAGAAAACAATAGCTCATGCCCAGCTCCCCAGAGCGCCTCCCTCACACCCCGAGGAGATTGCCACAGCTTCCCTCACCCCAGAGCCAAGTCTGGCCTCACATGATGCTCTAAGTAGAGGCTCAACTGCTTTTTGCCAGTTTCTCCTTGTAGCTTTTTCTATTATTGCTTTATGTATTTCTAACTTATGTTATTCATTGTGTATGAGTTTAGAGTTGCTGTATATTTTAAGTTGAATATTTGATCAAATGTAGTGCTACACATTAATACTAGTAATGCTGTTCCCTTATAGTCTACTTGGTCTGATATTAACATAGCAACTATAAGGTTTTTTTTTTTGTTAACATTTGACTGGTATATCTTTTTCAATCCTTTTCCTTTCAAATTAAAATTTTGTTTTTTATTGAGGTACAATTCACATACCACAAAATTCACCCTGTAAATGGTACAGTTCAGCGATTTTTACTATATTTATAGTGTTTGCCATCACCACTAATTCCATGACATTTTTATCACCTCCCAAAAAAACACCTTGTCTGCATCTGCAGTAGCTCCCCATTTACACCTCCCCCAGTGCCTGACAACCACTAATAGACTTTCTATCTCTGTGGATTTGCTTATTTCAATATTTCGAATAAATGGAATCATACCATATGTGGGCTTTCGTGTCTCGCTTACCCTTACGATGATGTTTTCAGGGTTCATCCATATTGTAGCATGGATCAGTACTTCATTCCCTTTTACAGCTGAAGAATATTTCATTGCATGGATAGACCACATTTTGTTATCCATCACTGGACATTTGGGTTGTTTCCACTTTTAGCTATTGTGAATAATGCTGCTATGAACAATTGTGTGCAAGTTTTTGCATGGACGTGTATTTTCAATTGTCTTGAGTAGATACCTAGGAGCAGAATTGCTGGGCCATATGGTAACTCCATGTTTAACTTTTGAAGGAAATGCCAAGCTGTTTCTCAAAGCAACGGCACCATTTTACATTTCCACCGGCAATGCATGAGGGCTCCAATTTCTCTACATCCTTGTCAACACTTGTCATTGTGTGTGATTTTTAAAATAGCCATCCTAGTGTGTGTGAAATGGTATCTTATTGTGGTTTTGATTTGTATTGCTCTAATGACCAATGATATTGAGCATCTTTTCATGTACTTATTATTTGTATATCTTATTTGGAAAAACGTTTATTTAAAAATTCTGTTCATTTTTTAATTGGATAATTTGTCCTTTTTTTTTTGCATTACTCCTCATTCTTATGAGACTAAGGATAATTTGTCTTTTTATTGTTGAGTTGTAAGCGTTCTTTATGTATTCTGGATATTAGATCCTTATCAGATATATGATTTGTAAACATTTTCTCTCGTTCTGTGGATTGTGTGTGTGTGTGTGTGTGTGTGTGTGTGTGTGTGTGTGTGTGTATCGAGCTTCGCTCTCGTCATCGAGGCTGGAATGCAGTAGCATATGATCTCGGCTCAATACAACCTCTGCTGCCTGGGTTCAAACGATTCTTCTGTCTCAGCCTCCCGAGTAGCTGGGATTCCAGGTGCCCGCCAGCATGCCCAGCTAATTTTTTTGTATTTTTAGTAGACATGGGGTTTCCCCATGTTGGTCAGGCTGGTCTTGAACTTCTGACCTCAGGTGATCCGCCCATCTGGGCCTACCAAAGTTCTGGGATTACAGGTGTGAGCCACCGTGCCCTGCCAGAGAGTGTTGCTGTGTTAAAACAATATTGTTTTCCAACCCATGAACACAGAATATCATTCCACTTATTTTGTTCTTTAATTTTTTCAACAATGTTTTACAGTTTTCAGTGTATACATCTCACAGTTCTTTCGTTAAATTTATTTGTAAATTTTATTCTTTTTATGCTCTTATAAACAGAATTGTTTTCATAATTTCATTTTTGAATTGCTCATTAAAAGTATATAGAAATAACCATTTTTTTTGTATATTGATCTTGTATTATGTGACCTTGCTAAAGCTTTTATTAGTTCTCTTTTGCACTCTCTCTCTTTTTTTTGGGAGTAGGAACCGGGGTCTTGCTGTGTCACCCAGGCTGGAGTGTGGTGGTACCATCGTAGCTCATAGCAGCCTAGAACTCCTGGGCTCAAACAAATCCTCCCCTCTTAGCCTACTGAGTAGCTGGGACTACAGGAGCATGCCACCATGCTTGGTTCTCATTTATTTTATTTTATTTTTAGAGATGGGGTCTCACTATGCTGCCCACGCTGGTGTTGAACTGCTGGCCTCAGCCTCCCAAAGCACTGTGATTATAGGCATAAAACATCATGTCTCGGCCTTTTTATTAGTTGAAATAGGTTTCATTTGTGTGGATTCTTTGTGATTTTCTACATGCAGCACATGTCATCTGCAAGTAAAGAGAATTTTACTTATTCCTTTCCAATTGGGATGCTTATAATTTCCTTGTTCCCTTCCTTTTTTTTCTTTTTTCTTTTTGTTTTTCTCGCTTATTGCACTAGCAAAAACCTCCAATACTACATTAAATACAAGTGGTAAAAGAATCCTTTCCTTGTTCCTAAACTTAGAGGGAAAACATTTCGTCTTTCATCATTAAGTGCGATGTTAGCTCTGGAGTTTTCATAGATGCCCTTTATCATCTTGAGCAACTTTCCTTCTGTTCCTCGTTTGTAGAAAAGTTTTTTTTTTTTTTTTTTTTTTTTTTTTTCTGGGGTCTTTTTTTTTTTTTTTTTTTTTTTTTTTTTTTAACCGGGGCTTTCCTGAACTTATTTAGGCCGCCCCCGGGCAAGGGCCCAGCACCTAGTAGAAGGTGTTGGGCCTCTTGGTGGTAAAGTGTGCCTTGTGCTGATGGCACAGGAGTCTGTGGGGCAGCGGGAATTTGATCTTGGAATCGTGCAACTGCTTGATGGCCAGTGACACTTAATGGCTGCGATCTCCTCCACCTTCATGATGTGGATGGAGTGGGCCTGCGCGCGGTGCCGGGTGCCCATGTCTCGGTAGCACTGGGTGACAGTGCCTGCGATGGTCAGGTCCCGGTATTCCCCGTACATGTTGTGGGTGCTGCTCCCGGAGTCATAGCGCACCCAGATGCCGAAGTTCTTGACCCTCAGGGGACACTTCTCAAACACCTGCCCACAGCAGACAATCTCCCCTGAAGACTTCTTCATCTTCTTTAACTGAAATACAAAGTACCAGGAGTGGGACTTGGCGATGACACGATTAGGTGCAAAGATTCGCATGCGGTAGAGGGGCAGCGTGTAGCATTTGGGGTGGGCAGGCAGCGACTCATCACCTTGTACTCTCATAGTGTCCCTGAGGCCTTCATGGTGACCTCTCCACGCTCACCGCCACCCGTAAAAGGACTGTTTGTTTTCAAATCATGAATGGATGTTAGATTCTGTCAAATCTTTTTATGTACCTATTGAGATGATCATGTGGTTTTGCCTTTTTTTCTGTTAATGTGGTGTATTACACTGATTTTCAGATGTTAAATCAAGCTTGTATTCTTAGTATAAATCCCAGTTGATGATGGTGTATAACCCTTATATGCTGCTAGATTTAGTTTTTAAATATTGTATTAAAGATTTTTGCATCCATGTTCATAAGGTATATTGGTATGTGTTTTTTTCCATGTGATATCCTTGGTATAAGGGTAATACTGGGCTGATAGAATGACATGGAAAGTGTTCCTACTCCTCTATTTTCTGAAAGAGTCTGTGAAGGATTGGTATTAATCCTTCTTTAGTTATTTGATATAATTCACCAGTGAAGCCATCTGGACTTGGATATTCTTTGTGGGAGTATTTTCATTTACTAATTCAATTTATTTGCTTGGTATAAGTCTATTCAGAATTTTAATTTATTTTAAAGTCAGTTTTGGTCATGTATCTTTCTAGGAATTTGTCCATTTCATCTGAGTTGTCCAATTTTTTTGGCATAAAGTGGACAAGCATTCTCTTATAATCCTTTTAATTTCTATAGGTCACTAGTAATGCCCTCATTTTCTCTTCTTGATCTTGGTAATTTTATTCTCTTTTCTTTTTGGTCACTCTAGACAAGATCAATTTTCCTGATTTTTCAAAGTGCTGATTCTGGTTTTCATTGATTTTTCTCTATTGTTTTCCTGTTTTCAATTCCATTAGTTTCCGTGCTAATCTTTATTCCTTCCTTCTGCTTGTTTTGGATTTAGTATGCTCTTCTTTTTCTAGTTTGTCAAGGTAGATATGTAGGTTATTAATTTGAAATTTTTCTTTTTTTGCTGATATAGGCATTTAAAGCTGTAAGTTTCCTTCTAAGTAGTGATTTAGCTGCATTCCATAAATTTTGTTTGTTTCTTTT